GCTCCGTCGTACATATGTCCCTGGTGTAGGTGGGTTGCTGTTTATTAGGGGCATTTGTTGTGGCTGACGGATAAAGACTGGAATATAATGTATTATGTTTAGTGCATTGTCATAATCGCAACAGCCCCTAAACTACGCATACATAGTGCACACTTCCATATTACAGCGTTTTAAGTTACCGTATTTACGCATGTATAGGCCGCGTGCGTGTATAGGCCGCAGCACAATTTTCAGACAGAAATTATAGAAAAAATAATTTTCTTGGAATATTATTTCAGGAGTAGAAATTATTCCGAAATTTGGCAACGTTTAACGTTTTTTAAAGGAAGTGTGATTTCGAATATTTCGAATACAAGCCGCACCCCAGTTTTCCTCTTGAATTTTTGGCAAAAAATGTGCGGCCTATACATGCGTAAATACGGTATATTTTATTGTTAGCCTTCTGTCTATATCTTCGTCTTGCGAATAGTCTTTTTCCAATCGAATTTTCGGATTAAAATTCCATTTGTGTTTTTTCAGATTATGCATAATTTAGTAACTGTTATATACATTCTTCTGTAACTAACTAAAAGTTGTACACGTCATGAAGACGTATGGGGGAGTGGAGGTATAGCCCCATAATTCCTTACTTCGACATTAGATAGAGGTGAGTTTTCAATTTCACGTGCCCACTCCTTTGCCTCAGGGGAAAGAGGTCATGGTATCCATTGAATAGGAGGCTGGATGGGCCCTAAAGTTGGTCTCGACGCTTTGGAGAAGAGGATTTTTTTTTCCTAACGGGAACCGAACCCCGACTTTGCAGCTCGTCGCTAAACCGAGTGAGCTCTCAAGTTGTATAACCTCGCCTGACTCATAGATGGCAGACTTGGTCCATGTGTCTGAAACGGAACCTGGGATTCTGCGTTGCAGATGGCGTCTCTACCGGACAGATTCTCTACTAACTTATCCTGGAGACTGCAACACAGGCCCCTGATGGCGTGTTGACTTCACATCGGCAGCCTCTGTCTCCTTGTAACGGTGTAAGGGACCCAGTTTTCCGGGTCCCTGGATGTTGGGTATAGATAATTCATAAGCCCCCGGCCAGCCCTTCGCTAGGCCTCTACCTACACAGGACAACATAATCACGACAAACGAAATATATTTATGCCCTAAGTGAGATTCGAATTCACGGTCCCAAGGTAGAATATAGTCACGCCTCGGACCCGTTTCCACGGGCGTTTGTGGTACACCTTTGCGCGAACCTTTATTTGCCTTTTGACTGTGGAAACAGCTACGTTTAAATCACTGATTCCTAACGTCATTAACAGATGAAAAGAATTACAAGAAGTTCTGGGAAGAACTAATCATATACTTTTTTGATACGAGACGGACCGCATATGAAATGACGCATTCAACAATTTTTCTATTGTTGCATGGGTATTCGTTACCGCGCTAACGTTTTTACTGAGCCGTTGCCTAGAAACGATAGGGGAATTTTTACCGAGCCGTTGCCTGGCAACGAAGAATGGATACAGTTATAGACACACTGAAGGGAGGTATTTATGAAGTACGCCTTTGAGATGGGCTCAGGTTTCCATGAAATGCATACCAAGTTTAATAAAGATTGGTTAAGCGATTCAGAAGTTGATGGAAGCGACGCATGGACACACAGACTGCATGGATATCGGCTAAGCCTACTTTCACGTTTTTAAGAAATAAGGAAAGTAGGCTAAAAATTTATATACAGAAGTAACTAATCTCTTGGAGACGCTAACTATGCAGAGTAAGCTCCTCTGGGATGTTGCACCATGTAGTTCGTATAAAATACAATCGTTTTGATGCTGAATGTTTTTGTGATAATGCGCTCCATTAACAGAGCGCACCACATGCTGGCTACTACTAGTACTAATCCTTACTGTAGGTGGGTCTGCCAGCAATACTCTCTCTGTTGTCAACTATCATAATTATATTGAAAAATATTTATATAGAAGTTATTGGAATATATATCTCGTATTTTTTCAATTTGGGTTGTATGTGGAGCGGCTAGCTCTGAAACGTATTTTCTGAAGAGCGGCTCTCAGTGCTGCCCGTCATATCTATCTGATCTCTTGCAACAATGGTATTCTCTTCTTTCCTGAAGATAGAAGGAAGGCTTATGGCTTAAAAATGGTGTCTGTGTGTCCCTGAATCATTGTGTATGCCCCCCCCTCTTTTCGCAATCTGGGCCAGTTGACCGATTTTCACAAACTTGTTATGAATGTCGTGCCATCAAATTCCGTTTTAATGTCATTTTTCCTGTCATCAATAATATCACCTTGACGGAGGCGCGAACTTTTGGGGTGGGAGCAGCACTAGCGTCACAAAATTTCGTATCTCGAAAAAGTGGAGTGATCGGGATATGTGGTTACAACAGAAAGGTATCTGTGGAAGATTTTGGATGTACAGTGGGAAAGGGAAAAATGAGCTGGGTGGTAGATGTAGAGAATGATTTATGAGTTCTAAACAACTGTATGGGAGCAGAAGGCAAATAATACAAAAGAATGGACATCTGTCGTAAATCAGATCAAATTTCATAGAGGACTGTAAGAGTAAGGAAACAACTATGTCTCCACTCCCCTATACATCATTCCTGGCGTGAAGCTTAATTAATTTAAAAATAAGAGCCAATTTTACCCCTCAGTAAACACGAATTTAGCCAAGAAAAATCTAGACAACGTTATAATGTTGAAGAGTACTGTATTTCGGGATATAACGCAGTGTAGTCCGTTAAAAATCAATAGACGTTTCGGAGGAACATGTCGCAGGTTGCTGCCTGCTTAACTCTGGTTTCTTGCTTGGCGTATTCTTCGAATCTGAAGATGAACGGGCTAATCAGCGACCGCCTCTGTGGTCTACTGGTTCCTGGCTACAGATCCTGAGGTCCCGGGTTCGATTCCCGGCACTACCAGACTTTCTGAAAAGTAGTGGGTCTGGAACGGTGTCCACTCAGCCTCGTGAGGATAATTCAGGAATTATTTCAGGGAAATAGCGGCTCCGGTGTAGAAAACCAAGATTAACGGCCGTATGGATCCGTTTCGCTGACCACGCGACACCCTCTATCCGCTAAAGTTGGAACTAACTTCGCCGACAAGCGGCGGTCACTCGGTCGGTATAGTTCGCTTGCGGACTACAGGCCACGGAGTCCTTTTCTAAACAGCCTTATATCCCAGAAAAGAAAACTACTTAACGACCGCGGTGAGAACCTAAAATCTTACTGTATGTTGCTGATTACACTTCAGTAGTACCAAATGTAGAATTTGTGCATTTCCTAGTCATTGTCGTTACGTGGCATTTCTCGCAGTCAGTGAATATGTAACGTGATTGATTCGCAGTATGTTTAAACTGTCATCATCACCGTCTGCCACAGAACATACACTGGATACACTGAGCTGCTGTAGTACGTCGAGTGCTTGTTTGAGGTATCGTTATAATCCGATTGTGAAGTAGATTATTACTCTGTTGTTAGGATGTCTCCAGATTCTATTTTCAGTTTACAGTGGGAACCAAATTTTCCATACCCGTGACTTCGCTGAACACACAGGAATTTTATTTCAATATGGCCGCCTATTCAGCACGCATGTGGGTGAGGAGGAACGGATATAGGATTTCGGTGGGAAAGCCAGAAAGAAAGGGACCGCTAAGAAAACCTAGATGTATATGCGAGGATATTAAGATGGGTCTTTGAGAAATGGGATGGGGTGGTGAGGACTTGATTTATCTGGCCTAGGATAGGCATCTTCCCACCTCGGCGACTCGGGTTCGATCCCGGGTCTTGTCAAGTGGGATTTGTGGTGGACAAAGTGGCGCTGGGGCAGGTTTTCTCCGAGTACTTCGGTTTCCCCTGCCAATCTCCATTCCACCAATTGCTCCACAATCACCCTCGTCTACCATCTTGGGCTGGTACAATAGGTCAGAAGTGGCCGCAGTACAAGGGACTTAATCCCACCCCACTAGTAATATAAAAAGGGATAAGGATCAGTGGATGGCTCTTGTGAACACGGTAATGAACCTTCGAGTTCTATAAAATGTAAGGAAATTGTTGAGTAGCTGAGCGACTGGTAGCTTCTCAAGAAGAGCTTGGTGACTTTAAAGGTATTTAGTTAAGGTTGCCTCCTCAAGGTACGACGCACGTCAAAAGAGTGTCCCAGGAGGAAATATCAATATTCTGGAAGGCCATTATATCGGTCATTCTAAGCAAAGTTTGTACATTTACATGTACGATGGGGTACCCAAAAGAAACCGAACTATTTTTTTTGTGTGCAGAGCTTTTGTAGTACCGCGTTTTGCCGCTATGAGCGCATAGAGCTAACATCCCTGAGTCGATAAGCTGACTACCGTTGCTTCAGAAGGTAAGGACTAGTTTCGGCAGAGTTTATAGTGACAGCTGTTTTGTGTCATCGTCGTTTTTGGAATGACCCGAACACATGAAAATGTTGAAAAAATTCGTGAAATCATCAAGGAAGATCGACGACGGACCATTGATGAAATTTTGGAGCTGTCGGGAGTGACTTGGAGCTCAGTTTAGC